TGATTTTTGGAACTTTGAAGTGTAATTAAAACCGATATTTTCGAATATTTAGATTTTCACGATATTCAAGGAGTATCCTTTGTTGTAAATGGAATATTACTTTAAATACATTCTGATGTTAAAATGTCGAGAAAAATCTGAGTATTCGAAAATTAACTGGGTAATTTCCCGTATTCAAAATATTCATTGTCATTGATTATTGCCAACTCATATTCTTACATCTCAATTGCTAAATGTACATACTCTTGCGTAGATTGTAATAATTTACATTGCCAAATAAACGGTATCATTTGTGTGGCGGCATGGCGCGTGGCATTTTATTACTAATCATCATTCGTACTTTTAATAATATAAATATATGGATCTCTGTTCCATTTTTGTAATGGAATAATGTTTTAACTGTGTGTATGTGTGTGTATATGTGTGTGCTTGCGTGTTATATATGGGACTGACAAAAAAACAAATTTATCATTGTCCTCGCAACACGGAATATTATTATTATATTATCGCCTTGTGCTGCAGTGTACCGTATTGCAGTACAGCGTTTTAATTTATCGTATCGAGTTACGATATCTACCGTTCGTAGTGTTCGTACCTACCATATTATAATACTACGCATATATCTTAGATACGTTGACATATTATTTTATAACGCAGAGTGATCAATCCTCGATAAGACCCTCATTATCTCGGAATGTATTAACCGTTTTTTTGGAATTTTAGATTCTGAGCGGAGCGAGGAATGTGTTGGTTTTACAATTATATACGGTTTTTTTTTTTTTTTTTGTTACTTTAGGGGGGTCGTTTTTTGATTTTCCCAGGAGTTTTCCCAATAAATGGAAAAAACCGGTAAAATGTACGAAAAGTATTATTTTCGAATCGTAAATATTACGGCCTTTTGTAATCCCACTCCGCTCAGAATCGTTTTTCGTTAATCAAAGATTAATCAGATACACGTTAAATTACCCTTTACTTTTCCAACTTCTTACCTACAATAGTGGCCCAACATCGTACGAAGTATGTCCGTCTTTTATTTTTTTATTTTTTTCTGGACAATTTCAGAAACAAGCAGCTCTAAAATTTGACAATTAACGGTATCATTTTTTTTTTTTTTTGTAACCCTTATTTTATGGGTGAAACAATTACCAACTTTTGATTTTTATATGTAGTAATTTATTATCTGTATTAAAAATTCGATAGAGAGAGACCTCTATTGTATATTATATGTATAATATACATATAATATATACATATTTTTTTCCCGCTACTTTTGAACACTTCTAGCGGCTCCCTCTGGACAAAATTAGCCTAAACTCGAAAATTAAGAATTGTTTAGTAGTTTGAAATGAAATGTGCTAGTTTTTTTTTTTCTATAGGTATGTATTAAGTTCATATTTTGACGAAAATCGCGCTTGTTATAACATAATTTTTTTCAAAATCATATTTCGTTAATAATGATTTATCGTCGCGTACAGATACAAATTAAATAACTTTGCATAATTGAATATTCTACCTTCCCATCTTATTACCAACAATAGCGCAGGCACACCCATCAGCAGTATCAGTTCTTTTTTTTTTTCACAAAAACTCAATAAAAATCACCCGTTTCGCGAATCCCATAGCTGTATTATCATATATAATATATAGTCGCGTTCAGATTTTTTGTCTAGTGCAATTATTTCGACGTAGGTACCTATTGGTTATAGGTATCTGTATAACATTCGCAAACGGCATAAACGCGCGATGATTTATTATTATACGGTTGTTACATCGAAAAACGCGTTATGCGTTATGCGGTGTGTATCGAATAATTATAAGAAAAAAAAAAAACTCGTAATATACATCATACATATTATAATTAGTTCAACGTCAGCTACAGTATACTTACCTATATATATTATTACTTTGCGCTGATATTATGTTCGTGGAAAATAACGAGTTTTTTAAATTTATAAATTGCGTCCACTCCTCGTTATAATTAGATAAAAAGAACACCGGACGCATTTCGCACCATGGGTAGGATTATTTTATTTTATTTTTTTTTGTATGGGCTTGGCCCCGATGGCCGCGTGTAGGAGTTTTCGGTATCTATATTCTATATACGTCTATATATCTATATAATATCTTGCCGTTCGGTTAACTATATTATGTTATTAATATTTCGACGATTTCATAGTTACAGTCTGTGACTATAGGGAGGCGTCGACTTAACGACTCTTTTTACGTGACGTTTAAAACAAAATCAAATTATTCGGAAGTCAACGATTACCATGCGTAATCGAGTATTATATACTTGAACCCGGGCGTAGTTCAAACCGGATGTTATGTTTTGGGTCGAAATGATCGTACGCAATTAGTAATGGCCAAATGATTTTGTCTGTAGGAAGAATAAAGATAATTTTTAAAAACTATTATAATTACAATTTTTTTTATATAGGTAAGTATAAAGGTATTATACAGTACGTCCCGGAAGTCCCTTCTCACTCTGTTTATCTTTATTGAAAATCATTATGTCTAAATGCGATTTTTTCGGCAGTAGTCTGTGAGAAAATTCGATTGTAATGGCATACAATCGAAAAAAAAATTTCAAAAATCAAAAAAATTATTTATGCAATTTAGTTTTAAACGTTTTAAGATAACCATTTATTTGGTTAGGTTAGATTAGGTTTTAAATTGTTTAAAAAATGTCACTAAAATAATGACTATATTCTGCTATTCTTCTATCTTATTTTAATTCTGAGAAGTACATAATATAAACTATTAAAAATATTTATGAAAAATAATTTAGGATATCTCTACCTCCCCCCCCCCATTTAACCACCACTGTACATAATGTATTTACAATATAAGGTTATGTATAGTCTTATTATAGATATATACACAAAATTATTATGATACGATATGATGAAATATTATAAAATATTTAACAACTCGTGCCGTGTTCCACAAAACAGTCTAAACTGATTTTTTTTCCTCAGTCGATCCCATATAATACGGTCAAAATCCTAACATCATTTTAAAAAAAAAAACCAAACAACAAAGCAATACAAATTATGTTTAAAAATATTTGTAGATTCTGAGTGAAGCGAAGAAGCTTATGGTTTTACAAAGATGTTTATTTATTTTTTCACTGTGGACAACATTTCTACCAGATATCTTGCTCCGAGTTTTAAAAGTAGTACTTTTTCTGATATGAAATCAGCGTAGAAAGGTACATTAAAAAGGTCATTTTTCGATTTTCCCAGTATTTTTCTCAATAAATGTGAAAAACCGAAAAAAAAACTAAGGAAAAACGGGAAATTCGTTACATTAAAAAAAATTTGAACAAAGAAAATATGTAATGCCTGTTTAATTAGTTTATCAAATAGGGCATATATATTATTGACAGAACATCACTATCAATTGAACTCCGCTCAGAATCGGTTTTTCGTAAGTAATGTTTTATCGTTGCATAAAAGTTACAGATATACATTAAATTCCTTTCTGTATCCAACCTTCTCGACTTCTCACCAACAACAGTGGCTGCATCCATCGTGCGAAATATGTCCGTCTTTTTAATCACTGTTTTATTAATTTCTGAATAATATTCTTTATTTTGTATCAAAACATTATCGTTCATGTATATAATGTTTAACGCTACTGACTTGACTTATACTTTGAATGCGGAAAGAAAATATAAGTTAAAATAATAATAACGTCCTTGAAACAGTATATGGTTTGGACCAAATAGGGGGTTATGTTTTGTAAAGCTCTAAAACCTTTTAAAACTAACTCGGTTATATTTCTGTTTTATAGAAATTATTAAATAACTCTATATATAGCATATACCTTTCCCACTGTCCCCCCTACAACAATGGCTCACCCGTCAGCAGTTAAACCTCTATTTTCATTTTTTTTTTCAATTGACCAAATAATCCACCAGTTTACAAAAAAAAAAAAAAAAATAACATGTAAAAAAAAGTTTTTAATCATGGTTTTGTTGATTTCCGAACGTTATTTTTTATTTTACATTAAAATATTTAAGAAAAAAACAACAGACTAAGTTAGGTTAGATTAGGTAGGGACCTTCAGACATTATATTTGTCGGACGAGACGTGGTCCAGACGCAGAGTGCCGCCCCTGTGTCTACATCCGGAAGACACTGCTGAACACACGCTCTTTCACTGGGAATCTTTACGGCAAGCCGTTAGTGTTTGTCGATAGGAGGAGCATCGCCTTTAGCAATGTCGATGACCTGCTCTACAGCCCAGTGAACATACCGCCCTGAGACTCGGACCACATCAGATACGATCAAATCTTGGCAGCGTCTGATCGTGGTACCCAGTCCTTCTACGGAATAGTAAAAGACATACAATATTACATTTTATATTGTATTGCATCATACAAAAATATACAAGTTATACTGAACGGATTCGCACGCCTGTTTTCTTTTCATCAAGGCAATAGCTAAGACACGAATGTCTGAACTATCTACTCGTAGTATAGTACAAGGCGTCGAGCCATGGCAAAACTTCAGAATAGGTAAGTATACATGTGGTTCATGCGGAAAATAACATGTAATATATTAAATGTAAAGTGCATTTTGAATATCATTAACAACTTTGGTTACAAAATTATAATACTATAATAAAGTGCGTGGTATATATATAACATTGAACATTTGGTTTATTTATAATGACTGATTCTATCCAAAACTAATTTACTTTTTTCATGACTATATTATTAACGACAACTTGAATCATGGCAAAATATCAACTAAGACAGGTGTATACATTTCGTGCAGAAAATAAAATTAACGATTAAAATAATATAATTAATTAATATTATACATATACAGTGCATTTAAAATATTTTTAACCGGTTACAAAAATATAATATTAAAATATAGTGTTTGATTAATGTAACATCATATATCTGGTTTAACGATAATAACTTATACTATTTAATAATGATTTACTTTGTTTAGGTGTAAATTATTAATTGGCAAAAAAAAAACAAATTTATCTTGACGAATTTGATGGAAACTTTGAGATTGGTTTTGAATTGCGCCGAGGACCGAAAATAGAATTATTGGTGTATGTACGGTTCTCTGTCCAATTTCCATTCCCTTCATTTTGTTCATCTGATTTACTATAGCCAGCTGATGGATTGTTAGTCACAGTCTTTTGAAATTCGTTTCTATAAACTCGATCGCCTTTGTTATTTCGCCAACTTAGGATTTTATCTTCATTAGAACTTTGCAAATCATTTCTTTTATTTGAACTTTTACATGATCCATTTTTCTCTTGATTATTAACCTCATTTAAAGACGTATTTTCATATTTCACAGATTCGTCTTGCTTCGTCCGCCAACATAATTCCTTGACTCTACTATGTTGTAATGTTTTATCTTTATTTTTACTGTCTTCCTTATTGTTTGCCTTTAACATTTCAATGAAACGATTATATGTATCGTTAACAATTTGTTTTTCTTTTGAATTCCATTCATAAGTATTTGTAATATTTTCAACGTATAAAGCTAATTCTGCAAGGAATTGTCCTTTTATAAACCAGATGTTCTTGAAACATGATTTAGCTGTCTAAAAATTACAATTATTATTAAAACAATTTTAATATTTTTACTTATGATTCACAATTGTAGACTTAAAATATATTTAGAGAAATATCGATTAATAAATGTGTATTTAATATTGCCTGCCTATAATTTATGTCTATATGTTGATATATTTACTAAATAAATAATATTATGGTACATAATGAATTTTAAGTCATCCGAGAAAATTATAATAAATAAAATCTAATAAACTACAATAATAAAATGGTCGACATACCACTACCATGGACCATTGTTGTACATGGAAGTTTGGAAAGTATGGGATATAGGAAAATTAATTTTAAATTTAAAAATTTGATATTTGTTAACGAGTGTGATATCTACTGAAAATCAAAGGTGTACGTTTTTAAACTACTAAAATTGTCCTGATATCCGAAACGGACATTAGGCAATGAAATTGCCATGTTTGAGGAATACACTCTACATGAAATCTAAAATTTAAACGTAGCTTTAGAGTTTGCTCGTAAGTGTATGTTATTAGATATTTAAATATAATAGAATAATAATAGTAATAATATTATTATTCATATGTAGGAGGAGGGTAATAGGTATATTTTATAAATTGATTAATTATTTTATGTAATTTATATTGCCCATAATTGCCTATAAAAATTGTATATAAAGACAATGAAATTATAATCAAAGTATATTAAGGAATATTAATAAATATAGTAAATAAATATATAGAAATAAAAAATGGATGAATGAATGCGTCACCTGGAATATTATGATGAGTGTATTATACGACAGGTTTCGAATTAAAAATTCATCATCAGGTATACCACAGTTAAAATGTAAAATGCGACTGAATATAAAAAAATAAATGAAGGAATACATAGAAAAAAAAAAATAGTGATACAATTGGTCTTTAACCATAAACCGGTCGTATAATACACTTATCATAAAACTCCAGGCAACCCGTTCATTCATTTATTTATTTTTTATTTCTCTATACAAATTGTTTATTTATATATATTTATTTACGAATCTTAACCATTTTAATAATTTTGTTTTAACTTTATTATTTATTAAATATTACTATGCCTTTATACATCTACTTAGAATTTAGGTTAAAAATAAATTAAATTATGGTTTATCAATATTTTTCTGCCTACCACAATTTTACCTACCCACCTACCATAGTTTTTACGGTTTGTAATTTTGTACTCTAATTACACACGTTTATGTTTATGTTTTAATCGTAACGTGCTACAGTATGATACTCACATATAACTGTAATCGTTTTTTATCATTGTCAGTATCTTGATCCATGTAAAGTTTTAAATAATGCATCAATTCTTGTTCATTACGTTCACAACTATGATAATATATCAGTATGAGGCATAAAATAATGAGTCTTCTTTCCGGAGATATGAAAGTATCGTAAATCATATTTAACGTCTGTACAAATGGAAATTGTCCAGTAGGTTGTAATAAACACTCAACTTTAAACAATGTAATGGCACATCTGAATGTACCACCTACAACCATTGCCCGTGAAAAATACCTTTTCGCTGTTTTGTAGTCCTTAAAAATAAAACTTATATAAATAGTATTTATTTAATAATAAGTTTTAAATAATATACTATATTACCTGTTCAATTTGGAAATAATACAATCCTAAAGCAAAGTCAGCATTATAATTTTTCAATTGTTTGATCAGTCAATGATTTTGAATGGAATTTTACTGGAATTTGAATATATATCAAAGTAAAGTAACATAGTTGGTTGTCATTAATTCCATCCAATAACATAAGTGCTTTTCTATAAATACCAAGAATAAATAATTAATCATTCAATATTAATTATTTAGATTAGAAGTTAGAGTCAGTTTAATTGAATAAAACTTGACACGAGATCAAATATGATCTGAGTGTTAAAGACAACATAATTTTACCTATTAAAATACGTCAAATATACTTTGTTGAATGAAAAAAACTTAAGACTTAAATTTAATTTGTATTATTATTATTATTATTTTGTTTTGTTATTTATCCATTGATTAGTTTGTTGCAACTCTCCATGGTGTTCTGTTGTAACTGAATTCTTTCAGGTTCTTGAAGTTTATTTTATTCATATACTTTATTATCTGGGTCATGTATTCTTTACTTTTTTTGTCTGTGAAATTCTTCAGATTATATATGCTTTGCTATGGCCATTTTGTGTTATATTTTTAAGTATTCTTCCACTATTGTACATTGGTTATCTTACTTTTTTTCTTTGGCTTCTTTTAATTTTATTTGCATCGAATTTCTGATGTGTTTGTAGTTTTGTTAAATTTCTAAAGTTCTAACAAATCTTTGTTTCGTCATAATATAATCAATTTGATACTATGCTATATATTTGGGAGTTTTCCACGTATATTTTCTTCGTTCGTGGTTCTTAAATAGTGTGTTTGCTAATATGAGCTTGTGTTGCGTTCAGAATTGTATGAATTTCTCACCTATTACATTTATTTATCCTAGTCTATAGTGTCTTACTATATATTTGTCGTTCTGCTCTCCTATTGATGCATTCCAATCGCCTAAATAATGACGATTTCTTCAGATCTTGTCATACTTCGATTCTCATCTTTTTTTTCTTACACTTCTTTGATTCTCTTGTCATTATGCGTTATTGTTGGCATTGATACTGGAATAATCGCTATGTTAATACAATTTTACTATGGCCAATTTATCAGTGTATTGGTAATAGCTCATAAATCTTTTGACACATTGTTCATAATGAAGCTTACTGATTAGTGTCTATCATTTGAACATATGTGCAAACATTTTTGTTCGTCGCATCAAAAACACTGCATTTAAGCCATCTTATTTTACTTATTCACCAAGAATGTCTATATTAAGTTTTTTCATTTCCAGTTTAAGATTTTAAAATGTTCCATTTTCATATCTTCTGAGGACTCTCACATTCCAGGTACCAATTCTTTTATAATTCCATTTGTATTTTGTATGTAGATGATTATTAAATTTATTTGAAATAAGGTACTTATTTTAAACTTTTTTATAATTACCTATAATAGACATAATAATATATATTATACACAATATACACATGTAAAAGATATATTTCATAATATTATGTATAAGATTATTATTTTAAAAATTTGTATTTACTTTATTATTTTTATTGAGAGCTTATAATATTTATCAGCTATACTGCAGTTGGGATTACGTCTAAAATAATATGATGCTACTTCATTATAAACGTCAAAAACTGGATACAAATACCGAGGTTTTGGGTTTTCTATACTCAATAGTTGTTCGACAGCATCTATTTCACATGTATCCGGTTGTTTACTGAATTTGATGACATTATAACGTCTGACTCGGCCTTTTACTAACAACCAAATACATATCCATTCAGGTTCGGTAGGATTAAGTTTGCGAGCTTCATTAGCAAATTTTAATCCAATGAAATTTCCTTTTGGTGGATTCTTCATAAACACGTAGGCTTTAATTGCACACACCGCTGATTTTTCTTCCTGATTAAATTCAATTGCTGGTTTAATATTTTCATTTATCTAAAATAAAATAAATTAAATATATTGTAAACAAATAAATAAATAAATAAATAATTAAATCATTTTTAATTTAAGATAATAATGGATAAATAATTGATAGAACTTCATCAGTCTGCTCATCTGTTCAGACGAAATAGTTCTGTTAGGGGAAGAGGAATAAAAGGCAGAAGACTTATGTGGCAGTTTAACAGAATCGGCAACAAATTGTCTATATGTCGGAGGACAAAATTATGGAGACCTGGTTTGAAAGGAAGTGTATAAAGAAGAATGAAAGATGATTTCTGTTGTGGGAAGATGGTCTCAAGGGCCTCGAAAAAAAAAATATATTGTAAATAAATTAAATTATTTATTAAATTAAAATACGATCCTCCCCAATTTGTTTCTTAAATAACTTCGAAACGAATTGTTCACGAACGATGCTACACAATTGATTGATTGGCTCAAACAAAATTTCCAAATTCGACTTTGGGAGAGACATGAAATTGAGCACAATTTGTTTCTTGAATAGGTAACTTCGAAACCGATTGTGTACAAACGACCGAGTTTCGTACATAAACGATCGTTTAATGTCTATATTCCAATTTAAGAAGCCACGGAAACGGAACCCGAAACTATAGTATGAGGACGAGACAAGGAACTAATATTGAATTCATAGACATGAACCTAGACTTTGCATATAATAATGTACTTCCTCAATGTCACTCGTCAAACTCTAAATTATCATCTTCCTCCTCGCCACTATATCTTCTCGTTATTTGAACAACGTTTTAAATTTTAATAAAAAGTAAGTAGCACTGTTATATAGCTGGAATAAGTGTACAAATTTATCTTTTCTGAGTTAATGTTCATCGCTAAAGCAATATATGCAAACGTCGAACGTGCAATATGGTGGTAAACGGTTGAATATTGTTTATGTGTCCCATCGAACGTACACGAATCCATGTATTCTAAAACGTCTTTTATTTCCTTAACCGATTCCTCATGTTTTCCATTGAGGAATAACTCATGACAAATAGTCAATAATAAATAAAATCTATAGAATACAAAAAACATTTAGAATTTTATGTGCGATTTTTTTAATATTCAACATGTTATTACAATTAAACTAATAATTATTTACAAAATCAATAACATTTCAATAGTCACGGTTGCACCGTTGTGTCTGTCGGCCATTTCGATGCACGAGGTTTTCCGGTAGGTACAAGAATATAATTGTTTTGGCCCGCAATGAATGACACTGTTTTTTTTATAGTGTGTTTTCGCAATGACACATCAACAAATCATTAGCGAACGATAAGTCGCTCGCGAACATTTAAATAAACGACAAATACAACGGCGAGGCCGTCCCGGCATTCGCCGCGGGCAATCCGATTGACACACCAAACACACGGACACCGAAGCTGCGCACACGGGCATCAGGTTTCCGTATCCGTGGTTTTACGACGCCGAAAATCTAACACGCGCTATGCGGCGCTGCCGGGTAACCGTGGGTTTTCAACGCGGCCGAGAGTTTTTCGTTTCGCCGAACACCAAACGGACGCACCGTCGCGCACCGTGCACGGCGGGGAACGCGACCCGTACAATTATTCTCAACCGCGGCTACACCGCCGCGGTACACCCACGTGACCGTAGAACTGACCTTATCTCACGCTCGTCGGCTTATCAAAAACATCGGACGGGCGACGAAGATTCGCGCGTCCACCTTGCACCAGCCACGAAACGCTAAAACCGAGCGGCAAGCGCGCATACGTTACGCGCGTATGGTATAGTTCGGTTCGCGCGGTACACGGCGAAGCGGCGATCGCGCCACATCGGCCGGCTGCGAGTCGAAAACGTAAGTGGGACACGCCGATTCGTACGCATTGGTGCACGTCGAACGTTTCTTCGGTGTCGAAGTATTCCGTACACGGTTTATATGTTGGCGTCGGTGTATCGGTGTCGATCAGCGTCCGTTCCTCCGATTTCTCGTGTTCCGCAATATTCATGTTGAAACAAGGTAAGGCGCGTCTGTAGCACCAACAGGTACTCTGGCCCGCGGTAAGTTCGGTTTCGTGTTCGGATCGCATTACGTTTATCGTATTATTTCGCGCGCGGTTCTGCAGTCCGGCCATTGCGGGGATCGATGCCACCCGATATTGTGTTAAAAACGATAATTCCCGCTAAATGCAATACGCGTTCGTTGACCGTATTTCAATCAACTCGAATTCGCCGTCCGCAAGTCAATGGGATATTGTACAACCGAGCAGCAGCTTTATGTTTCGCAAACTTACCGCCAACTCATCCCGTCGGTCCCGCGATTTCCCTTATTCAATGTAATTTCGTGATTGTTCGGACGCGCTCACTGTCCCGGCATATTGATCGCGAAAATTCCACCAACCCGGTTGATTAATCTGAATCGTGAAAAACGTATTGCAAGTCGTGATAAATTCTACGTTTGGGCCCCGCGGGGCGCGTGCCGCTCCCGCGTTCGTACCAACACTACTGACCGATAACAACAAAACGCGATTCACCGAATACCCGGGTGGGTAACACGAAAACTAATCTCACTGATTATGTTTCGTTCTGAAATCCCTAGCAAAATGGGATTTACCGAATAACAACAAAGTGCATAGATAACGAAATGTATGCAGATCCGTGATAATATCGTTCACGTTTCAATAGTATTGGTTGGCGTACTGTTCGTATTTCATTAATTCGTTATTCGTTTTGTGCGCAACACGGGTTTTGAAGTACAAATATAAAACTTATATTTCAACAAGTTACTGGCTTTTTGTACAGGTACCTACATTTAAAACCCACGGTTTATGTTTACCTATTGGTGTTTTTTTTTTTTTTTAAGTATTTTAACATTATTTTCAAAGATTTAAATTTGTTTTTTATTCATATTTGTTTTGTCTTTCAGAGGTATCTCAGTATTTTAGTAATATTATGGAAAAAGAGCCCGACGTCAGTGCTAGTATAGCAGCAATTAGTACACTATTGAAGCTACTGGAACATGATAAATGTAGGTGCAATTTCGATTAAATACAATTGTATTGTTATGATATATAAGTGTAGCTGGCTGGCTATTGCATCTTTGGTAAAACACAAGTTCGATTGTTTTATATTTCCACTTGGCACATCAATATTGTAATAGCGACATTTTTATTTAAGAAAATGTCATGCCCGTATGGTGCCTTCTCGGTCCAACTCATGGGCAATATGGTAAAATCTACCTTACGCACTGCGAAGAACTCGCATAATTTTGGTTTTAGAGTAAAATCACCTATTATAAAATTAAAAAAGAACAATATTCCAAAGGGCAAGACAATGTGTTTTTCTTATTTTTTCTAATTATTATTCTGAACATAACATTCAATACATTGTTTAGAAATAAAGACGTATTCATCGTTTTTAAATGACTGTAACAATTAAAAAAGAAAAAATATTGTTTTATATTATGGTTTATTTATTTTATAGCAATATTGCCCTCTTTTAATTGTATAATAGATAGCTATTTTTATTTTGAACTCAAAATTAAGTGAGTTCCACGCAGTCTGCGTAAGGTAGAATTTGCTATATTGTCGTTAGTTGGACTGAGACAATATGTATATATAATGTTCTCTTAAAAAGAAAACAGAAAATGGTAATTTTTTTTTGTATAAGTATTGTGAGTAGGTTTTGAAAAATGTATGTAAACTATTTAAACAACTCGGATATTTATATTATCTATGTTCTACTGTAATTGAAAAAATATTTTTTTGAAAATTAAACATTTTTCATTTAGCTGAAACTGTACAAGAACTCGATTTGAATTTACAATCTGCAGTGGAAGTCATTACAAATAGTAGTTACCGTATCACTGGCGTATCATCTGGATGTGCTTTATTTATGCGGTTTATAACATTTGCTAAATTGGATACTATTGTAAGTATTCTTTTAAGTATTTTACATAAATTTGACTTAATTAAATTTCATTTTGGATATTTAGACATTGAACCCTAAATTTATGGACTTCTCACAATAGTGGACTACTACTTACTATTGGACATTTTATTGGGTCCCAGCAGAAATATACATATTAGATAGGCGTTAAATACTCTTAATTTTGTGGCCCCTTCAATACAAGTATAATATACTTTTAATTATGAATTTTAAACAAATGTGTAAACAAAACATTGCTCAACAGTTTCATACTTCATATAAATTTACATATCTACATTATTATTAAGAAAAAATAGTTGAGGAAGGCCACATCTCGAATATATTGGCCACGGGATTAAGGATATAGGTTGTGAAATATATTACAAATTAAAAATATAAGCGAGAAACACAGAGAATAATGAAATTGGTGAACTGCTGCTAACCAGCCTTTTGGATAATAGATACCTAGATTTTTTCTTATATCAAAGAATATACAATTTATCTGAGTTATGGGGTTTACATTTTGTTCCATTGAAATAATTCTATGCTTGTAAAGTATAGTTATTTATAAATGCTGTTTACATAAATATATCATAATGTCATGTGGCAAACGAAGAAGATTAACTTTGGCACAAAAAATGGAAATAATAACATTTGCAGAGGCAAAATACCTTGGGGTACGTGCAATTGCTGAACACTTCAATATAGGAAAAACACAAGTCAGTAATATTTTAAAAAACAAAGTATATTTATCACAAACTTTTACGGGACAAGGAAGTAAAACTTCAAAACGCAAATTCCCAAAATCGGATAGTGAAATAATTGATAAGGTGATATTTCAATGGTATTTGCATGCTCGAGTTAAAAATTTGGCAATTTCTGGTCCAATTTTAAAAGAAAAAGCATTAGAATTAGCATCAAAAGTGGGACTTAATGATTTTAAGGCATCCAACGGATGGTTGCATTGTTTTAAAAATCGTCATCAGATTTCATATCAATACGATGATACAAGATCAGTAAAACAAAGTGTTACAGCTGAATGGTTATGTGAAGTTAAAGAACTCGTTAATGGTTATGAAGAACGAGATATTTTTAGCTGCGATGAAACTGGGTTATTTTTTCGTATTCTTCCTGAAAATACAATGGACTTTATAAATGAAACTTGTAGTGAAGGAAATTTATCAAAAGAAAGACTTACAGTAATGTTGTGTGTCAACATAATTGGAGAATTTGAAGAACCATTAGTGATAGGAAAAGTTGGACAACGTAGCTGTTTTGAAAATATTAATGTTAATGACATTGGAATAATTTGGAAATCTAATAATAAAGCGTGGATGACCCGTGATATTATGACTGGGTGGCTTTTGGATCTTGATCGTAGAATGACTTCAGCGAAGAGAAAAATTATTCTTTTTTTAGATAATGCAAGTACACATCCTTTACTTCATGATCTGCAATCAGTTAAACTAATATTTTTTCCGAGATGTATATCATTTTGTGGTCAGCCTTTAGAACAAGGAATCATTCAGAATTTTAAAATGCTATATCGACTATGTTTAATGAGACATCAACTTATAAAAATGGAAAATACCTCTGGATTAATGAAAAAAATTAACGTATTAGATGCGATTCTTTGGATAAAATCTGCTATTAATACAATTCAAAGAACAACGATTAGGAATAGTTTTTTAAAATCTGGTATCTTGATTTCAAGTGGTAAGAAAATCAAAGAGGAAAATTTCGACCTCAGTGATTATAAAACTTTACTAGTTCGCTTGGTTGGTGATGATTCAATTAATTATGTTGAAATAGATGATAAACTATTAACCGAAAATCAATTATTGGATTTAACTAAAATAATGCAAGAACTCATTGACCCGCAAATCAGTGACGAAGATGATGAGGATATTCAATGTGTATAATATTGTCATAGGAAAAATACAGTATTTGCAATTAAGAGAATCTGTAAGATCTTAAAAAGAAAATGCAGGAGCCTCCAATAAGGTACCATGATGGAAAATGTGTAATTATGACTTAATAAAATATCTGGTTCTTTTGATCTATATCCTTAATACTTATAATAGGGAGATATTAAATTTATAAATTTTAATGTATTTCATATTTGTTTTAGCACAGTATGTACTCGTGATATGTACTATAGTTTTAGTAAAACTTATTAAAACAAAAAATGTAAGTTAAGTTTTTATAAAAATAAATTTTAATTAATACAGATGTAGTTCATACGTCTTACTTTGTTACACATTGTACATAAAGTAAAAAAACTATATAATATTATATATACACATGTTTGATCTTTGTAAAGTTATTACATATTTATAATATATTTAACCCTTAAGTAAAGTTACTATTTTAAAATACAGCATATAATATGAATGTAAATTTAAAATATCATATTCTTAGTATATATTAATTTAAAATTATATATTTTAAAAAAATTATTATTGCAATATCATTCAATTACTTTAAATGTTGTTTAAATATATTTTTCAGCGATATTATTTAATTGGATTTTTATTTAAGAAAATTGTTATCAAAATTACACCAAATTACAATTATTATATAAAGTAAATAAATATATAAATAAAAAAATTTTACAACTGAGTAAAAAAAATTAAATGAAAGAATACATAGAAATATATATATATATATATATATAGATTTTAAATAATCTCTCCTATTAAAATAAATTATTTCTTTATTCTATGTAAATTAACCAATTTGTATAATTTTTTTTCTATGTATTCCTTCATTTAATTTTTTATATTCAGCCGCGTTTTACATTTTGACTGTGATATACCTGATGATGAATTTTTAATTCGAAACCGGGCTTATTTATACACGTATCATAATACTCTAGGTAACACATTGATTCATTCATTTATTTATTTTCATATATACATTTTTTATTTATATATTTTTTACGAGTATTTTAATAATTTTGTTTTTACTTTATTATTTTATTATTAATTATTATATATTAAACCTATGTGTTACTATATTATATTTTAGTAAACGAGTAAGAAATGAATCTTTCTATTCTTACTTTTAGACTTTCGCGGAATGTAAAAAAGTTATGTTGGATCGTGGCAAAGTATTTTTGAAGAAACTTACAGATGCAAGAAATAAAGTTGCTAAAATTACTCTTCCTTATTTTGTTGACGGCACAGTAAGCAAAACAAATAAATAAAAATAAAAAAATATTTACAATTTATAAACAGCAAAATGAATTGTATTTTTTGTGTATTATTTTAGAATATTCTAACACATTCAAAATCAAGAGTAGTATTAGAAGCAATGAAATTAGCTGTAAACTCTCAAAAAAGATTTCATGTGTTTGTGTCTGAATCATCTCCTGATAAAAGCGGGTAATTGTATACAAAATAAATGTATAATAAACCTATTTAAACGAATAATATTATTATTATTTTATACTTGTTTGATACTAGAATTGAAATGTACAATTGTTTAAAGAAACTCAATATTCCTTGCACATTGGTATTAGATTCTGCTGTTGGTTACATCATGGAAAGGGTTGATATGGTTATGGTTGGAGCAGAATGTGTTGTAGAGAGCGGTGGAATCATAAATAAAGTAATGTACCTACTCATTCTTAATTTTAATTATTATATTTAATTTCTATTATGTATGTATTAAGATTTTGAAATTGCATTGTTATATAAACTTATATTTATTTAAACAAAATATACCTATATAAATTATTTTAATTACTTAGATTAAATTCTATATTTAATTAATATAGTATAAACAATTTTATTAATTATAAATAGTGTTTTAAAGAAAGTTCAGATGAATTAATTTCATATAATTTTATCATAAACATTATTATTTGTAATTCTTGAAGTACAATTATGAATTCAAACAACATAAGAGATTTGATTTTGTTGTGTTATGAAAGGCTATGAAAAAAGACCATTGCTTATTTTTAAATAAGAAAAAATTACTTAAAAATTATTATGCAATTCCTTTTTTTTAGATTGGAAGTTGTACAATGGCAATTTGTGCTAAAGAATTCAAAAAACCATTTTACGTACTAACAGAAAGTTACAAGTTTTCACGAATGTATCCATTAAATCAAAGAGATTTACCTTATAATTTCAAAGTAAGTTATTTGTTTATTATTATCTTAGATGCAGCTGATTACAAATGATTTAATTTATACCTACAAAGTTCAAACATGACGACTAATTTCCCATTATGTTTTATTACAAATGATTCAATTTGTATAAAACAATTAACTATTCAAGTTTTTCATATAGGTATTGTTATGTAGTTTTTATGAAATTAAAAAATTAACTTCTAAATACTTAAAAATTGTCGTTTCCTAATAGAATTTATTATTATTATTATTAATATTTTAACAGCTAAATAATATTGTTTTATTTTATGTTAGTTATCCATTTATACTTATCATTATTTATAGTTATTTTATTCTACAAATATTTACTAGTGTTTCTTATTTTAGATTTTGAGCTTAGGGAGGAATACATTTTAACTAATGAACTATTGTCTATTAATATTCCCTTAATCAATTTATTTATTTTTATCTAGTATACTGCGAACAATTTGAATGATAATAATTTATCAAATGCTCACCCTACAGTGGACTATACTCATCCAACTTATATTAGTTTGCTTTTTACCGACCTTGGAATATTGATGCCGTCAGCAGTAAGTGACGAATTAATAAAATTATATTTGTGAATCTTTGTAATATTATTTGTTATGTCGATTGCTGATGCAACTGATATATTCGTTAATCTAAGTATAAGATACTGTAAGAAAATAAAAATTTAATTATATATCAACTTAATATTGTTCAATTTGTATTCATCTTTACCTATTTTGCATTATTTTTGTAGCTGACAAATAAAATTTTTAGAATTATAAGTTATGTTTATATGTAATACACAATAATGTAAATTAAATTTTTTTTAAAAACACTTATAAAATACAAATCAGACCCATCTATAAAGAATGTGTTGTGATTAAATTATATCGCTGTGATGACTCAATTGATACAAGTACCAATCTTCAACTGCTGACATAGCCTTTGAAAAATATTTTAAGGTAAAATGGGTTGCTTAAATGAATTTATTAATTATATTATTAGTTTTGTGAACTAGGTATACAACTACATTTGCTATACTTAAAATTAAATCTCAATACCCTTGTTGTCTTGATTCTATTAGAACCAAGCTGGTGTTGTGTGTAATAACTATATACAGTGGATTCTGCTTAATGTGGGCACGTTGGGACCAATTACATTTACCCATTTTAATCAAAAAGTGTATTGTTATACATTAGAATTGGGACCAGACCATTATGTTCATACTAGACCGCTGCTCACATTAACCGATGGCCACATTAAGCTTAATCCACTGTATACAATTATTACAGACAACACCAGCTTGGTTCTTATTATAAAGTCAAGACAACAAGGGTATTGAGGTTTAATTTTAAATATAGCAAATGTAGTTGTATACTTAGTTCACCAAACTAATAATATAAATAATAACTTCATGTAAGCACCTTAGGCCAGGGGTTCCCAACCTTTTTATCATCATGTACCACCAGACACTTATATAATCAATACGCGTACCACCTAAATTCTAAAACTAAATTAGGAGTCAAATTTTTTTAGCGTATATTTGTATTATTCATTCATTTCTTTACATTTTTATTATTTGATATTTATGAAAGTAAAAAAATTTTAAGTTTTAGTTAAATCTAAATATTTAAATTACAATTTTCAAATTAATAAAAAAATAATAAATAAAATTAATGTGATATTTGTTATTGTTTATTTTGTACAAGGACTTCAATATCAGGCTGAATGGAACTAATTTTTATTCTTAAGTCACTTTGAATATCAAGCCTACTTCTGTACTTATTTTTTCAAATACAGCAATTCAGAAAATCCACTCCCTGACAAATGGAGTTAAACATTGTAATGCTTGCTTGAAAAGAGATGGGTATTCTATTTTTGTTGACATCCAAAATGAAACTAATAAAAATAATAATTTTATAAAATTAGCTAATATTAAATAAACTAAACTAAACTAAACAATATTGAATGCAAATAGTAATAAAAAAATATCTTCGCGCACCACTAGTAGTACTCGTACCATGGGTTGGGAACCTCTGCCCTAGGCCATTACCTGTAACTGTTTTGATAGGTGCCAAATCATTTTTATTCAAAATTAGGATTTTATAATATTTTTCATAATTGATTACAATACCATCTACTGTTCTGTTAGATTCTGAAGTGTAGTTAATAATGAGTAAATATAACGGTTTTTATTTTAATTTACCACTTACTTTATGACTCACAGTAGTTTGGTGTGGTAGCAGTACTTTTGAAAATGTATTTGATACCAGTTGAATACTTAATCCTTTTTCGGTTATACCAATTATTTCTATGTATATTTGTTGAAAAGTAGAGAATTAATAATACAAAGGTAAGTTGTTTTTCTATTTATATAATTTAATTAAATTAATGAAAAATAATATACTAAATATGAATAGCAATCAATTTTCGAAAACATATTTTATGGATTGTATTAAACATTAAGTAGTTCACATAATTATCAAAATAGGATTATCTTGAAAATCTCACAGCCCTAACAATGGCTGTTTATAAAAATATTTTCATCCATAGAATACAATTCAATATAAAATATAATTTTCAAAAAAATTATTTTTTATTGTTATCAAAAAATTTACAAATTTTAATTTTCAGTTCCCCAGCTATAAAAAATAAATAATATTGTAACTGTGGCACAGAGGTATGCTCATTATTAAAAAAAAAACCTAAAAAAATTGAATAGCACAAATTATTACAAGTGTCAGATTTTCATTATATACACTATATACACAATAGTCATAATAGTTATTTTATAATGTATCTTTATGGTATTTAGTAATTGTTTCACTATGCTAATATATATAAATACAATTTTTGTACTGTAATGAATATCGATCATTTCATTTCAAAAACTTAATGCAGATTTAAAAGAATGGCGATTTACTGGACACGGTGAAATGGTATATAGGTATTTAATATTACAACTAATTTATTTTTAGAATTACCCATCTCATTTTTTCATGATAATATACACAATCTGGTTCTATGGTAGCATCTTTGGAACTGATCTCCGGAACAACTATTAAAAAAAAATCCTAACATAATAAAGGATTATAAAATTGTACTACTAATACCATTGATTATAGAATAGTCTATTCTATAATCAATGCTAATACTGATTATGTTCTTAAATAATATATATCTATATATTTGTTTTAGATGATTATTAAGCCGGGAAATTTACTGTTTAGCAGATATACATTTTATGCCAAATATGTAGTAATATAATGTGTGTTGAATCTTAATAAAGAAATGGCTCAACCAGATTATTAACCGGAAAAAACTTACTCTTGAAAGAGGTTCGCCGATGGTGGAGAAATGCATAGTGGAGTAGAATGTAGAACGTTGGTGAACTACAAAAAATGTATCCATTTCATTTGTATACCTATTAATGCATTAATAATTCGATTTCAGAAGTTATAGGAGTTAAATATTGTTCTGTTTGCTATTGATTTATGGAAGACTGAGCTAGAAATCCGTTATATACATTGAAGAGTTTAAAAATCGAAAATTTGATTCATTATGCCTATTTAATAACTTTAAAAAAAATCGATTTTATTTTCTTTTTTTACCTATATATTTTAAATAATGATTTTGGTATTTATTGTCATCGTGCATAGATAGGTCATTTAATGTCTATTGCAGTGGACTATTGCAGTCTATTTTAGTGTATTTTTATTAATTCTTAGGTGAAAGGAGTGCCTAATGACACTACTACAGTATTAATTATTTTTATTCACCATATATACGGACACATAATTTACTATTTTTGTTTTTGGCGCATTTTTTATGTGCATCTTTTGACAAAAAAACATTTCGACGCCCGAGCCCTCGTTCATAATATTATTTCCCCTAGATGTACGGCTTTCCATTAAGAACATTTATATTTGTTTTACTATAGATTTGTATTGTTTAGTTATAACCTATAGACAGGTATCTATTTAGTATTCGTATAGGTAGCATTATTATAATAATTTATAATTAGTTGTTAGTTATTGTTAAATGTAATCCTGGCTTTACCCATAATATAGTATAATTATTAATCCATAATATATATATATATATATATTTTAATAATCCATTTCAATTCAATGGTTCCAGAGGTTTGAGACCACACTCACAAAATGCTGTCTCCGTTTTATAGATGAAAAACCAATTTTGTGTTCATTTTATTATTAATCATACCTATCATACAATTAAAAGGTAATGACATTGTCTGAATTTTTTTTTATTTTATACGTATTAGGTAGGTATTTACATTTTTAAATTATTATACTTCACATATTATCATTATCATACTTTAATAAATAAAATATCTAATAAAATCAATGAAGTTTCGAAAATAATATTTTCATATTTAAGTTTACTAATAATAGATCAATTCTTAAGGTTAAAAATGCAACAAAAAAAAGTATTTTGTTGTTTTTTTATAGTGGAGCGATGTTTTTTAGTAGAATACCAAAATTAAGATTTAGTAAGGTAACCGTATCATAATTCGTGGTGGAAAACGTTTGCTGTAAAAATTAAAAATAATAAAATCGTACGTTGTCAACTTGTTCGTTTACCATTTTTCCATCGTTTTCCGCAGTTGAAAACCATTTGAAAATCGAGAAACGAAAACACTAAAAAGAATAACGACGAAATTTCATTTACTCTCCGGGTCATACCCACAGGTATATTATGGTTAGGTTAGATATGGTTACTGGTTACTGAATCGCGATAGTAGAAATGCGCAAAGTCGGTTACCGGAATAGTTGATTACATTATCTTCATCGAGAAATAAACACATTTGCGTTCGTATGTAAATAATAATATGCGTTTTGTCCGAAGAACGCGATACAACGACCTTCCGCAAAATGGAACCAATGGGTTTCACCCAGCATCCGTGGTACACTGTTCACCGTTTGACGCGTAGGCGTGCAGTGGGAGTAGGTACCTGAACACGTATGCTCGTCGACCGAAGTTCGGAGGCGTTTGCCCGCCATCGCATCAGTATTGCGCCGAACGCGGTGAATNGCCCGTGTCCCGTTGAATTTGTCGGTGTTTTTCCCGACGTTTTTATTTCATCGCGAAAACGTACAACACCCCGATGCGGGCGGTGTCGTAAAACTGATCGGCCGCGTCCCGCTGCCGTTTCACAGTGTCGATTCGGTTCGCGTGTGCCCTGCGTGTTCCGCGGGCATTTGGGTAGTGCAGACAGTACGGCCGTTAAGAGGACACTCCACGGGTAGCTTCAATCGTTTCGGCGCGTACTGAAAGTCCTGACATTTCGTAGAGTTTCGCCAGCGTGCCCGTTTTAAAAATAACGTATGCCAAATAGCGTTCGTGTTCTGCACGTTACCGGACTCGTATTTGTACCAATTGCGGTTGTGGTCAGACGTACACGATGAATACCCGCGTAGTGTGTTGTCGAGTGTGGAGCGTTCGTTAATCGCGATTCCGTTCTTTTTTTTTTTTTTTCGTTTTTCAGGATACGCGTTTTTAAAACGTTCGACCGCAAATCGATAATGGATTTGAAACCGCAAAAAGTCGGTACGGAAAATACTTTGATATTGGTGACGCTACTCTACACGGTGTCGTCGACGTTGTCTTA